CCCCAAAACCCCAAAACCCCAAAACCCCAAAACCCCATAAGGGAGAAAACTGGTTGATCATATAATAAATATTCGCACAGCATGAACCAAACTTCGATGCTAACACAGATTTCAGATATAAATGATCCTAATTATTTGTATCCAGGAAATGTCTTTGCAAGCAGTCTTAGCACTCCTGACTCTGAGGTAATTAGTAATTTGTTAACAAATTAACTTGTATCTTCTTGCTACATATTATTAGTGCTATATGTTCGGGTTTATTATATCAATTTTGAATAAAACTAATCTTAGTTTTTAGAATTTTGAACCAAATTTTTACAACTGGGAGTCCTGAAAAGAGAACTCTCAAGTGTCAGACTATCATATCAAAGAAAAGAACGAAGAAATATCCGAGAGAAGCCCAGCTGTTCTTTCTCAAACAAGTTATGACAATACTGGGATTCTAACCACTCCCAAGTTAGAAGCCAAGAGTCCAAATCAGTTTACCAATGAAAAGCAGAAAACAGGTACCTCACCTTAATTTTTACTAAGTTTGAATATCTTCGGGTTTCAGCAGGACTACATTAAGAGAGTAGTATAACAATATATCAGTGTTCAATGAGCCATAGACACCACCATAAAGAACTTTTTGTCTATCTTTGCTCAACTCTGGGGTTTGTGTGGCCAAAATCAGATTTCTTTCTGGTGCCAAAAAGTAATCATATTTTGTTTCTAGGTAGTCTTATCAGCAAGAGGATAAATAATTCGTTGAAAAAGAAGAACTTCAGCAGAGATACTCAATCTTATTTTTCTCTTGTTGCATCAGAGATATCAAGCTGTGAGCCTTCAAAGCCTGTCAGAAAAGATTTAAACCAAAAAGCTTCCTTGCGAATGTTAAGAAGGTACTATAGAAACTCCTTCAAGTCTAAAAATATTGAGATCGTTAGAAAAAGATACATACACTGCTCGGATGAATATATTTATCAAAGGATGAGAGTTTTCCTTGAGATTCTTATGCCTCAAGAAGACTTGTCAGATAATCTTATCTACTTCACAACAGGCATCATAAGCCTTCGTGAAGTCTCAAGTTTACCTTGTAGTCAAGCGATCAAAGAGGAAATAAAGATGTTTCATCTTTGCTGTAGATCATTCTCTCAGAGGCGATTTACTATAGCAATGCAATCAGAAAGCTTGAGATCTCTGTGCTCACACTTGATAGAGAACTCTAATAACCCAGCGGTGGAGAACCTCAGACAAAAACTCTGTTCAGAAATCAACGAGTTCGATTGATAATTATGCTAATTTGTCAATATTTCAAAGTTAATATTTGTCATCTTTGCCAGGATATGGGTCTTGCGGGAGATAAACTTCTCTTTCATTAACTTAGATAATCATTTGACTAAGTCCTATACAATTCTTTTTATATAATGATACCCATGCAATTAGGAGTTGCTAACAGAAATTTCGTAGTCTGACAGCTAGAATTGGAAATATTCATTTAGTATAAAATTAATTTACAACATTTGGTGAATACTTCTTATAAAACCTACATGGTAAAGCTCACGCAGGAATGGGACTAGTTTAGAAACTCCTAGTGAGTGTTAGAAAGTATCTAATCTTAGAAGACACTCGCTTTCCTCCTGTCACAGTAATGACAGTTCCATTATATTGAGTCTAATAAATTAAACAAAGCAGGCTTTGAGGAATCTTAAAATTTCAGCAAGCTGACCAAATATTGGGAAATTAATAGCAAATCCTAAATTTGGGAGTATTTTTAAAAACTCATTTTCATAATTATAGTAAAAGATAATTATCACTTCTTCCACTCCAAATTCATTTATCTGGAAGAAATCCAGAGTCTTAGTCCTGGAGTTCTGGCTAGTAAACTTTTAAAAGTCCTCATAAGAAAGAATAACATTCGAAACCTATTAATCTCAGATTTCTTGGACTATTAATACAAGTTGATTAATAATCTGGAGTGACTGAGCAAATATCTGATGCTTATATATTTAATTTTAGAAGACGTCTAGAAATCTCAGCTTATTAATAATCTAGCAAAAATTCTGTGCATGGATGAGTGGAAAAATTATCAGCTGATTCTTACTTATGAGCAAAAGTATAGTAATAATTTTGAAAAACAAGCTTATCGATTTAGGATTAGAACTACAATCTTAGCTTGAAGCTAAGCCTCATTATGAGTCTCTTTATGATCATTGCTTTAAATTATTTACTATGTTTAAAGATCCTACTAATATCATGCTTCGTTATTATTTAAGGATGCTAGCATGTTTGAAGAAACAAATGGGAGATGAGCAGAATTCTTTGGAGAAAGATTCAGCAGGACTTCAAATTTTCTTAGAGACTAAGCCTGATATTTATAAAGACTTCATGTTTTAAACCATTGCAGCTCTTTTATATATATAAGGATGTATGATAGGTGGTTTAAAAATTCAAATTGCTGCAAAGTTCTCGAACTATTATTATTTGAAGTTTATTCTAAAAATATGGAATCCTTATACAGGAGGAATTTCAAGCAAATCACTTACCTTAATTTATTGATGATATTAGGAGATTATTCGTGTGCTATTTAATGAGCTAGGAGTATTTTAAGGAGTTTTAACTCTATCCTACCACCTTAGTTTCCTTTTAATGAAGAATCGTGAAGCTACTATTAAATAAAGTAGCGGTCAAATTTTTAATTAATAGGTTTGCCTCAAAGACTAGGGAACGTTTGAAGTATGACTGTGAGGTACTAGTCTTAAAAAATTAATAGGATAGGAAATATTGTTGTATATCTTCTGACATTGTTGCAATTGAAATCTTTCATACTAGGTTTTAACTCCAACGATAAATGTAACTTTTAAGTTTGCCTAAAAAGACTGCACCACAAGCACAACGAAATAGAGCACCCTTATATCATCAAAGTCCTTCCAGAGTCTTCATCTAAGTTGCTCGACTCTCTAAGCCACCTCATAAAAACTAACCTTTTTCTACTTAAATGTTATTTTTGTTGCAAAATGGTTTTCTATTCACCATACTGTTCACTTTGTTTTTCATCAGGCATTTTCACCAATTCACTGGACTTCTAATTTGGATTTTAGCACTCTTGAAAGACTGCTCTGCGATATATCTTTGTGAGAATTATATATCTGAAGCTACTAGTGCCTGTCTATCATGCTAGTCAAGCCTCTTAATGAACAGAAAGCTTTTTAATGTATATGCGCCAAAATGTGCAGTAGGAATACTCTTCTTCGAGATTCAATTGCTGGATTGCTCTATTTACATGAAATTTATCTTAATTCGAAGATGTGCCAAGTAAAAATTCAGAGAGAGCCGAAATTAGTCTTTTATATCCTTCTTTCAATTGAAGATCATAAAGGGATTAGATCATCTCCCTAGCTTCCTTTCATCTAAATTTTCACTAATGATTGAGTTCAATTATTTAGAATACCCCTGGGGTTTTGGGGTTTTGGGGTTTTGGGGTTTTGGGG